GTGGACTTTTGCATCCAGCAAAATCACTACAATTCTAGGAAGCCAGCATCCAATCTCGCTGCATCAAGCAATAGTCGGTTTTTCACCAACAACATCGGAAGGAAGATTATCCAATTTTCTGCTGTCCTTAGTGAAAAGCACTATTTATAGGACATACATGAATTACATTAAAGAAGAGTCACCACCATTGCCAGCTTACCTACAAATCTTCAAGAAGAGAATAGATTACAGAATCAAGCTAGAAGAAGTCCACGCTGAGCTATGCAAAACTACAGAAAGTTATAAACCCACCTTCCTCATAAATCAAGCTCTCTCCCCCACCCCCTTCATCAAATTAAATCCCAATCCAAATGTTTTCCAGCCATTTTCACCCTCAGCTCTCCTTCCTATCCCAAAACTCCAAACTTCAACAAAACTCCACCACCTTTCAAAAATTAATCACAATCCCTCAAACCTCCAAGAACAAAAAGAAAAGAAGAAAAGAAGAGACTTGTGATGACGTCTGACTGACCCCGCAGCGGTGTGCCACGCTTCGAGACAGCCGGCTGCCAGAGGACGACGCCTGCCACCAGCCGGTTAGGCAACCACCACCACGCCGGAGCGCTCCAACCCTGATGTGGCCTACCCCACAGGCGCTTCTCCGCAACTTCTGAAGACTATATCCTTTTTACAAGCTTTTTGACTTTTATTTTTTCAAAATACATTTATTTTCTAATTATTAAAATGTTTATTTAAAAAAAAAAAAAAAAAAAACAATTGTAAAAACAGCACCACACACCAAAGAACACCTCAAGTTACAATGGAAACGGCATGCTTTTTGTGACATATTTTTTACACCCCCCTTTGGCCCGCATTGTACATTTCAAAACCCCCCAATAAATCATTTTTAAAAACTAAAACTCTCTCTCTCTCTCTCTCTCTCTCTCCTCTCTCTCTCCGCTCTTTTTCGCGCACGCATTCTACTCGTCGCCGTGCCAACAGGCCGCTTCCCAAGACTCTGTCTCTCTCGCACCCCGCGCAGAACGCCCCGGCGGGTGCGAGAGAGACAGAGAAGGGAGCAGTTCTTCGCAGGCAGCCTTCGCAGCCCGGGCACGCCAAGAAAGAATCCCAGTCATTGTATAACGCTGTCGAGCAGTGAATGCAGAAGCCAGAATGATGGAGGCAGATTTTTCAGGGCGCACATAGTAGGTCAGCAGCAGCAGCCAAGCCGGCGCCACGGACACCGGGGAGGGGGGGGGGGGGGGGGGGGGGGGGGGGGGGGGGTGGGTCGGGGGTAGGGGCGCGGTGGGGGGAGGGGAAGGACGGCACGGTGGAGGAAGGGGGCGCACGGCAACGGACACTTACAAAAGACAAAGAAGGGAGAATTTTTCGGAAAAGTGGAGTTTAAAAAACCAAAAGACGGAAGAGGTGTTTTTTTTTGTCGAAAAAGAGTGGAAAAATTAAAACCGCACTCTAAAGAAGTTCTGATGAAACGTCACCGGAACAAGTACAGAAACGATGCAGAAGAAGCAGAAGAAGAAGAAGAAGAAGAAGAAGAAGAAGAAGAAGAAGAAGAAGAAGAAGAAGAAGAAGAAGAAGAAGAAGGACGAGCACAAGAAGGATGGCGCAGGGGTGGAAATGGAATGCTGTATTTCTCTGGCCCCCTCCCTTAACGTAATCGGCGTTACTCCTTTAGCGCTTCCCGCCCACGCGTGTGTGCGAGAGAGAGAGAGAGAGAGAGAGAAGAGAGAGAGGGGGGGGGAGAAGAGAGAGAGAAAGAGAGAGAGAGAGAAAGAGGAGCGTCTTTGCATTTTTAACGCGGCGCGGTCAGCGGCTGGTCACTTTCATTTTGGCGGGCCACGATTAACGAAGGGCGATTGGTATGCGGGCTGCAGCCCTCCGGGTGCTGGGTGGGGCCGGGGCGGCCAGGGCTGGGGTCAGGGGATTGATGAGGATTAGGAGAGGTCGTCGCCGTGGTGCCGGCCGAGGCCGTGGCCGTGGTGGCGGCGGTGGAGGCCCCGGTCCTGGCGGTCCTTGCGGACGACAGGCCTCGTCGCCGAAATTTGCTTTCGGACAAGGGAGGGGCCCTCCCAGGCCCTCCCAGGCCCACCCAACTCCTCTGGCCACAAGTCTCGACACTGCACGGCGTTGCCGCACGCAGCGCCGGCAGCGCCGGCAGCGCCGGAAAATTCCCGCACCAACGCGTCGAAACGTTTGCCTCTGGAGCTCAGAAAACGCGTCCGGTATTTTGGGCCGCCTCCACCGGTCTTCTGGCCCACTGTGCGCAGGCTTCGCTTGGCTCTGCTTGGCCGTCCTGCGTGCGTCGGGCCCTCGGCTCGGCACAGCCGCAGCTCAAAGTTTCCAGTTCATTGCTGGTTCGAGGCACGCCCAGGCCGAGCACCCTTCGGCCGGACTGCACCGAGGCGGGTTTCCGGTTTGTTTGTTCCGCGTACGAATCACGGGCAGGCGAGGATTTACCTCTGACAGACCGAACGACTAGGCCGGAGCCAGTGTCACGGTCCTACACTGAAAAAACTTCCTTAATTTGTTCCCTCCTAAAAATAAAAAAAACTTGATTCAACATGTGTTCCTTTAAAAAAAAACAAAAAATAAGTTTGGTCCACCAATATTTTTCTTGAAAAAAAAAAAAAAAATTGACTGGGGAGGAGGTTCCCTCTCGAGAAAAAAGAGAAGGGTCCAAAAATATTTTTCTCGAAAAAATAGTAGCAGGCTGTAATGTAGTGAAGGGGAAGCAAGAGTATATCATTTCTCCTACCTAAATGTTCGCCTACCTGTCTATTTCGCCTACCTAATAAAAATATTGAATAAAAATATTCAATAAAATATTGCCATTTTTCGCCTACCTATAGTTCGCCTACCTAATAAAAAAAATTTAAAAAAAAATATTCAACAAAAAAAAAAAAAAAATCGGCGGCAAAAAATGGCAATACGAAAGTCTCAAGGGACCCGCCGATCAGCTTCGGTGTTCTTATGGGAACCGGGCCTTCATCCGACGCTCCCTGCCGCGCAATTCGACAGATTAGTGGGTTCGTATTGGGCTGGCCCACCCGAAGTGCGCGCGGTTTCTGTGGTACAGTGAGAGTCCAGATTCAGAGGCCCTTCCCTCAGAGGGGTCACATTGGGTATTTGAACCCGCGACCCGAGTGCCGAGTCTAGTCAACTCCTCTACCCTGACCGCTCAGCCACCAAACCCAGCTTGTCAGCGGCGATGTCGCAACTCCTCTTGAGCTGCCGTTCGAGAAATCTGGTCCCGAAAAAATGGTACTTTGAGCGGTCTCGAACCCGGGACCTGCTGCTTCCCACATCATGCTTTTAAACCCACTGAGCCACCGGGACGCCATGGCACCCGCCCTGCCTGCGCTGGTACTCAATCTTCTCTGGATATACCCCCCCAAGCAATTGGTCGCCGAAAAAATTGTAATACCGGTCCCGAACCCGGGACCGGGCCCTTCCCCAACGTGCTCTAACCCTGAGCCCCCGGGGACCCCATGGCACCCGCCCTGCCTGCGCTGGAACTCAATTTTCTCTGGATATACCTCCCCAAGAAATTGGTCGCCAAAAAAATTGTGTAACTACCGGTCCCAAACCCGGGCCCTGCCGTTTCCCCACTCATGCTTTTAACCCTGAGCCACCGGGACGCCAGGACCCCCTTGCCAGCGCGGGTACTTTTTCCCTTGGATAGACCTCGTCAAGAAGTCGGTTGCCTCTGCCGAAAAATGCTCATGGCACTAGCCCCGAACCCCAGACCTGCCAGTCAGGAACGCAGCACTTAAACCCCGGCGCTACCAGGTTGCTATGCACGCCACTAACCTAGCGCCAAACTTCAAAAGCCCCCCATCTTTCTTGTGCTGGACAAATAATAACTTCGGCGATGGGGTGAGCGCTGTGCGTAGCAACCAAGTAGCGCAGGGTTAGAGTGCTGCGCTTCTGACTGGCAGGGCTCGGTTCGAGACTAGTACCATGACATATTTTTCGGCAGAGGCAACCCACTTTTGACGAGGTTTATTTGGAGGGATTGAGTACCCGCGCTGGCAGGGGGAGTGCCATGGCGTCCCGGGGGCTCAGCGGTTATGAGCATGATGTGGGAAGGGCAGGTCCCGGGTTCGGGACCGGTAGTATACACAATTTTTTTGGCGACCAATTGCTTGGGGGGTATATCCAGAGAAGATTGAGTACCAGCGCAGGCAAGGCGGGGGCCATGGCGTCCCGGGGCTCAGTGGTTAAGAGCATGATGTGGGAAACAGCAGGTCCCGGGGTTTGAGACTGCTCAAAGTACCATTTTTTCGGGACCAGATTTCTCGAACGGCAGCTCAAGAGGAGTTGCGACATCGCCGCTGCCAAGCTGGTTCGGTGGCTGAGCGGTCAGGGTAGAGGAGTTGACTAGACTCGGCACTCGGGGTCGCGGGTTCAAATACCCAAAGTGACCCCTCTGAGGTAAGGCCTCTGAATCGGGCTCTCACTGTACCACAGAAACCCCGCGCACTTCGGGTGGGCCCGCCCCAAAACGAACCCACTAATCTGTCGAATTGCGCGGCAGGGAGCGTCGGATGAAGGCCCGGTTCCATAAGAACACCGAAGCTGATCGGCGGGTCTCCTTGAGACTTTCGTATTGCCACTTTTTTCCGCCGATTTTTCGTTTTTTTTTTTGAATATTTTTTTTTAATTTTTTTTTAGGTAGGCGAACTAAGGTAGGCGAAAAATGGCAATATTTTATTGAATATTTTTATTCAATATTTTTATTAGGTTGGCGAAATATAGGCGAAATAGACAGGAGGCGAACATTTAGGTAGGAGAAATGAACAAATCCCGGAAGCAACTTCCAAAAAATTGTGCACCGATAAACAATTTTGAATTTTAGTCAAAATTCTTCAAAATTCGTGAAATTCCGTCGAAACTCATAAAACTTCTTAAAAAATCATTGAAGTGCATACCGAAGTTGGAGGAAATTTGGCTGCAATTCACTGACATTCACTCGAAATTCATGTGGACTTGTGACTCACCTACTACGGAGAGGTACATGGAGTGGCCGATGGGCGGCGTGGTGGAGACCTGGCACTCGTAGATGCCGGAGTCCCTGAGCTGGGGGTAGCGCACCTGCAGCGTCCAGTCCTCGGTCTGCGGCGAGTGGCTGGCCACGAAGCGCTGGTCCGACGTGTAGGTGTAGCGGCCCACTGTCAGCAGGTGGATGTCGTGGTGCCGCACCCACGAGACCTGCAACGGGACACACTGTCAAGCTCGGGGCGGGGCGGGGCCTCGGAGCTAGCGGGGTGCACCATCGAGTTTGTTCTTCCAGCGAGTCCGGCGAGGGAGCAACCCAATTTCCCCCTTCCAGGACGAGGTGGGCGTCCTGCCTGGAGAAGTCCTGCGAGGAGTGTGCTCCGCGGGGGTCGTGCAAGCGGCCCCGCCTGGGGGACGCACAGTGGACCGGAAGACCGGCGCAGGCGGCCAAAGACGCGTTTTGAGCTACAGAGTCGGGCAGACCTCGAACCGAACGTGTGACCCCACCAATGGATTCCTCGTTCGGAGAGCAGTCCATTGGTGGGGTCACACGCTGGCTTCGAGTCCCGTTTAGCGGCTCTGGAGGTCAAAGCGCGTCTCTGGCCGCCTGCGCCGGCCTTCCGGCCCACTGTCCGGCCCGGGGAGGCCCGGCAGGCCTGGCAGGAGTCCCTGCCCGGAAGCGCCGCAGAGCGACCGGACGACAGCAAGACTGCCCCGGTCGGAGCTCCGAAACGAATCGAGCGAAACAAGTGGCGGGGAAGATGAAGACACGGAAAGAAACGGACGGGAAAGGAGAAGAGACGGCGGCCCGTTGACTTTGGCCGCGACGCCCCGGGCACTCCGAGGGGGCCCCGACGACCGGCATCATTTCCGAGACCTAACCGCCACTTCCCCAGCGATTAAGCTATCTAGATACCATCGGCGACCTGCTTTCGCTTCAACCCGATCCAGCAGAGTCGTTTTCGTCGCTCCGTCGCCGTCGCACTCCTGGGGCGTTCCCAAGGAGGTTTTTTTAAACAAAGCGAAAAGTTTTCCCGCAATTTGGGGGGGAAAAGCCCCTTCCTTGGGCCCCATTTTTGGGGAAAGGGGGGGACAGGCCCCTTTTTGGGCCCTGGGATTTGGGCCCAATTTGGGTGGCTTCCCTACCCAAATTTGGGCGGGCCCCCCGGGAGAACCCCCCAAAAATTTTTTTGGTTTAACTGCGGGGAGCCCGAGGAAAGGGGTAAGACAGGCCGGCCGGGGGAAGCCCGAGGACCCCAGCAAAACCCCTTTTTAAGGTAGGTGGGCAGGCCAGGGGGGACCCGGGCAGGCCCCGGCCAAAACTCCAACGCGTTTTGGGCCCAGAGCCTAAAAGGTTGGGAAAGCGGGAGCCCCCCGATAGCGTAAACACAGGCCCGGGCGGCAAGCCCCAGGAGCAAAGCCGTGAGTTAGGAGGTGGAAAGGCCAGGGGACCCGGGGCAGGCGGCCAAACTCCAGACGCTTTTGAGCTGAGAGTCGCTCGGGCCCCGAACCGAACGTGTGACCCCACCAATGGACTCCTCGTTCGAATAGCAATCCATTGGTGGGGTCACACGTTCGGTTCGAGTCCAGTTTAGCGACTCTGGAGCTCAAAACGCGTCTAGAGTTTCGGCCGCCTGCGCCGGTCTTCTGGCAAATCCACTGTGCGGGAGGGAGAGGGGTTCGCAGCGACACGGGGGAACATCCTTTGGGCGCGGTCCGCCGAAATGCTGCTGGCCAGAAAGGCAGACCAGATGTTGCGCGTGCCTGCCTCGCCCGCCTCGCCGCGGCCACCCTTTGAGTCTGTAACGCCGGATTCCGCGCATCCCAAGTAGTTGCAAGGGAAGGCGGCCCCGAGCCTGGCACAGGACCAAAGTTTAGCAGCGGACCAAAACGGAGTGCGAAATTGAGTGGAAAACAAAAATGGCGGCGGCAATACATCTGGGCTGGCCCGAGGCTGGCCTGCAGCGAACGCCTGGCCCATTGTGTGACCGTGGCGAGAGAGAGAGAGAGAGAGAGAGAGAGAGAGAGAGAGAGAGAGAGAGAGAGAGAGAGAGGCGTCGCGACGCTGCCCCCGACGCCGCCATCTCCGACCACGTCGATCACCTTTTCTTTTCATTTCTTATTTCCCTCATTTTCCCTTTATTCTGTTGTCCAATTCGCTGATCGTGTCTTCGGCAGCAAAAGGAATTCCCCCCTTATTGGATGCTGCCATCAGCCCCTCTTCTTTCGCCCCCGTCACTTTTTTCTTCCCGTCCTCTCTCTCTCTCTCTCTCTCTCTCTCTCTCTCTCTCTCTCTCTCTCTCTCTCTCTCTCTCTCTCTCCGTGTATCTCTAGTGCCTATGCTATCAGCGCCTCGCCGAAAACTCCATCACCAGTTCATTGTCCATTCATTCTCCATTGCGATTCGCGGCACGTCCAGGGCGCGCCCTTTTCGGCTCGCAGAAACCGATCGCAATTATCATCATTATTTCGCTTCCTGGACCGGGCGCCCGGAGGCTGCCAGAGTTGCAGATTCGCCGAGAGAGCGGTGCGCAGTCCGAACCCCCGTTGACTGTCCGGCCGTCCGCAAGGCTTTCGGACGCTTTTCGACAACCGCCACCGCGTTTTGAGCTCCAGAGTCGCTAAACAGGCCTCGAACCGAACCGTGTGACCCCACCAATTGATTCCTCGTTCGGAGAGCAATCCATTGGTGGGGTCACACGTTCGGTTCGAGTCCCATTCAGCGACTCTGGAGCTCAAAACGCGTCTAGAATTTCGCCCCCTCCACCGGCCCACTGCTCTGAGATTGACAACCCTTTCGACACTGGTGCCTGCGTAGGTGGCAACACTGCTCGCGATGGCCTGCTCTCACTCTTAAGGCGCGGACTTATACCCACACACTTCCTGCGCAGATTCCTCCCCCTCCCCCTCCACCCTAAGTCCTCCGAGGGAAAAGCTCGTTGCCGGCCGAGGGAAAGTATCCAGTGTATCTTCGCGTCGCCCCCTGCTTCCAAATCAGCTTAACGTTGGCCGCGGGCGGGGTATGATGCGGGTCAAGTGAAGCAGGGGAGAGAGGGGGAAGGGCTTCGGACGTGAAAGGGCACATAGAATCTGTGCTCAGGCCGGCAGCCTGCAGCCGCTACAGTGGCGCATCCCTGGCGTACTTACAGACCCTCGGTCCGGGCACCTCACCCCCCCCCCCCCCTCTGTTTTCCCAGCACCTGAACCGCCATCATAAATCCAGCGCTCATTCAGCGGCAAACGCTGGATTATCTCCGTGCATGTATCACGTAACAAGTTTCGATCGGGGCGCGCCCTGCCCCCGATGACGCAAATGATGATTTGTTTCGTTTAAGCGATCCGGTCCACAAGTTGCGTCACGTTGGAACCCATCGAGAAAATCCAACCGGTGCGGCGTCAACCTCTTTGGATTAGTGAGTTTCCGATAAAATTATGCCAAACGGCGGTTTTGATACATTTTTGCACAAGGCGTTGACAGCACGTGAAAATTTAGTTTCGATAATCATTTCTCTCCGCTCCGAGGCCCAGCTGGGGTCCATGACTCGACCTTCCCCACGCCGACACAAACTGGCGAGGGATTCTCTTTAGACTGCGAGGTGATTTACATGGACGCTCCATAACACTGTAGGCACTGGCCTCGGTGTGATGCATGGAGCCGTTCGGGCGAAAGGGATTGGGCCCCGGGCCAGTCGTAACGCGCCTTTCGTTTTTCGATGGGAGAAACCAAACCCGAAAAGCGAGAGCACAGCCGGGGCATTATGACATTTTGAGCAGAATCACTACCGAACGTTTGACCCCACCAATGGATTCCTCGTTCGAAGAGCAATCCATTGGCGGGGTCACACGTTCGGCTCGAGTCCTTTTTGGCGACTCTGGAGCTCAAAACGCGTCTAGAGTTTCGGCAGCCTCCACCGGTCTTCTGGCTAATCCACTGCTGGGAGGCAGGCGTGTGGGGCTCGCGGCCGGGCCCTGGCGGCTGCCTGCAGTGCGCCCGCAACCACACGAGTTCGTTGATTCGTCTCGCCAAACAGCCGCGGGGCCTTTTGGATCGCCCGGTGATTGCAGGGATTAAGGAAGTGCTGCCTCGCATCGCAGTTCACGTGAGCGCCGCAGGGCCGCAGGCGACTCGACAAAACAACTTGACACCAGTTACACTCTCTTCCAAAAGAGCGAGTTTTTGAAGCGTGCGGTGAACAGCGTCCGTGTTGTCTGCTTATTGGGCGTTCCCACCCGTTTTTTTCGCAGTGTGTCTGGCGAGCGGAATGTGGACTAATGGGCCCTGGGCGAGGAATTCGCTCGCAATTGGAGAGGCTTTGGCTGGCTGCCGCTGGCTGGCTCGCCGGTCGGGCCGCCCTGGCTGCACCTGAGATGGACGCCCAATGCCCCATCCGGCCCGCCCGGCCCCATCGCCGCATCCATATTCATGTCCACACCGCATACCCGGCGGCCGATGCGAAGCCCAGCCCAGCCCAGCCCGGGCCGAGCCATCGCCTTCGAACCCCGCAACCAAACAGGCCCACGACGGCCGGCTTTCACAAAACTTCGCGTGTGACCCCACCAATGGACTCCTCTCCGAACGAGGAATCCATTGGTGGGGTCACACGTTCGCTTCGAGTCCCATTTAGCGACTCTGGAGCTCAAAACGCGTCTGGAGTTTCGGCCGCCTCCGCCGGTCTTCTGGCCCACTGTGCGTGAGGGACTTGGCGCGGAGCGATAGCCGTGGGACGCGTCCGTGATTTGTACCGACGACCGCCACTGCGGCCCTTGGAGGGGCCTTGGGGGGCGCGGGGGCCTCGGGGGCCTCGGGGGCGCGGAGGGGCGCGGAGGGGCGCGGAGGGGCCGGGGATGCGCCAGGCTGCCTCGCCTCGGCCTCGCCGGCCTCAGCCAGGCCATTAAGGAGACCGCCATTAACGCCGCGCCTCGAGAAGTCTTTGTGTATAACGCAACGCCATCGCCACGCGCCACGCAGCGCGCCGCACGCCGTTTTCAAAAACAGGCAAACTGCTTTTCTAAATCCGGGAAAGTACAGAAATTTTACATTTCAAATGAACCAACCAATCACGCCTTCTTGAATTTTTCAAAGTGTAAACAATGGCCAGACTAGGATTTCTACTGCCTTTTTAAAAATTAAAACAGGATCCGAAAAAAATCCTCAATTTTGTTAAAAGCTTTCGGCAGGACGGGCATTGAACAGAACCAGTACATGTCATGGTTTCCCCTTTCAAAAAAAAAAAAAAAGTGGCCGTCGTTAGGTCCCGCCGGGACTCGAACCCGTTACACGGCGCTGCTGGCAGGGTTTGCAGGGCTTGCAGGCCGGGGTTGGCCGCAGCGCAGCGGATTGCAGGCCAGACCATTATTGGCATCCCCTGCCGTGCCGGGCTGGCTGGCCTGGCGGCCGGCCAACCCCTCACCTGTATTCTACCTGACCACAGCGCTGTCCACGCGACAGCAGCGCAGACAACAGCGGCTGCTCTCCACACTAGCAGGCCAGTCCGTGCGAGTGGGAGGGAGACAGCGACGCAGCACGACTATTAGCCGGCTGCCGCCGCCCGCCAGCGCCACGAGGAGCAAGTTCAAATTGCACCAGCAGTGGGCCAGAAGACCGGTGGAGGCGGCCGAAACTCTAGACGCGTTTTGAGCTCCAGCGTCGCTCAACAGGACTCGAACCTAACGTGTGACCCCACCAATGGATTGCTCTCCACACGAGGAGTCCATTGGTGGGGTCACACGTCCGGTTCGAGCCCTGTTGAGCGACTCTGGAGCTCAAAACGCGCCCAGAGTTTCGGTCGCCTCCGGTAAATCCCCCGCGGCGAAGAGGGTCGACTCACCGTCCTGTTGCCGAGGTTCTTGACGCGGCACTTGAGGTAGGCCGTCTTGCCCACCAGGGCCGTGACGTTGTTGGAGGCCGTCGTGTCGAAGTACGGCCCCCGGATGGAGTAGGGTGGCTCCTCGTCCAGCTGCTGCTGCTGCTCCCCCGAGGACGCGTGCTGCTGGATGTGCGCCTGCTGCTGCGGCAGTTGCTCCTGGCCATGGCGCTGCTGGGCCTCGAGGTTCACCACGGCGTCCGCCGGCGCGTGGGGGTAGTACGTCTCTTGCGTTCGCCCTGCGGAGCACACCACGCCGAGGCGGTCAGGAACACGTTCAGACAGCAGCTGCCACTGGACAGTATCAAAATAATAGTTAAAAATAATTTTTGGTGAAAAAAAATTTTTTGGGATAAAAAATTATATTTTTGGTGGAAAAACATTGTTAGGTAAAAAAATTTTTTTGGGTGAAAAAAATTTTTTTGGTGAAAAAAATTATTTTGGTGAAAAAAATTATTTTTGGTGAAAAAAATTATTTTTGAAAAAAAGGTAAAAAACAATTAAATAGGAAGTGCCGACCTAAAGTTGTTTAAAAAGACACACGTCATCACTTTTTTCCCTCCACACATTAGCACAGTGCTATCAGCGCGGGAATCAGCGACTGCGAGTGCATGGTGCACGTCCCGCTCCGTCAGCGGCCCTGCCTGGGGCACTGTGGGTGGGGCTGCACTTCAGCACGGCCACCTCGAGGGAGCAGCGGGGCCCGCCAGGCCCAGCCAGCCCACTGAAAAGCGAACACACGAGATTTATATCTGCGACATGTGGGGTTTGCCTCCGCCACCCCGCCCCCTGGGCCCCGCTGATGACACTACACACTGCGCATCGTTTGTGTGTCACGGTAAAAAGAGGGAAGATGCGGGAAAAAAGGGCGAAAGCATTTTTCCTCCGCCGAGTCGTTACCTAGCCGAACGTGTCGAACTGGCTCCGGCACGGCTTGCCGGAGTCTCCCCACTCCCCACGGCGAAGGCCGAGGCTGAGGCCCGGCAATCCAACTTCCTGTCTGCCAGGCCCGAGAGCCACAGTGTCGACGCCCTGGGCCAGGGGACCGGCGCAGGCGGCCGAGACCGAAGTCGCGTTTTGAGCTCCAGAGTCGCTAAACAGGACTCGAACCGAACGTGTGACCCCGCCAATGGACTCCTCGTTCGGAGAGCAACCCGTTGGTGGGGTCACACGTTCGGTTCGAGTCCCATTTAGCGACTCTGCAGCTCAAAACGCGTCCGGGGTCTTCCGTCAAACCCACTGCGCTGCATCACTCGTTAGGGACGGCCCCCTAACCGGCCGGGCACAATTAGGCGCCGGATGCATACAAACGATTCCGATAGGCGGCAGCACTGTTGGGGGGAAAGACGGGGCGCGCCGCTAAATTAACATACACGATAAAGTATTCATGACGGGTAAACAACAAGAGCCACAATTTGAATTGCACAATGCCCCATAACTCGGGGCCCTTCATGTGAAGGCGGTGCCCCCTTCGGGCTTCGCATTTTCATTTGCAGTTTCGCTTGAAATGACACGAAAGCGCGCCACGCCGTGTCCCGGCCACCGAATTACCTCACATAAAAAAAGAAGAAGAAAAGGGGTTAGATGAAGGCTGGCGCCGCAATGATGCCCAATGGCGGGCATTTGCACAACCGTGTTACGGCTACGGCTCATCAACTGGCAGCGAGTACAGTCTGTTCAAAAAGCCCGTTTCCAGGCGCACAGCGGGCCAGAAGACCGGTGGAGGCGGTCCAAATACCGCACGGGATTTATTTTGACCGCCTCCCTTGGTTTTCTGCCCCGCTGTGCGGCGACCCGGCTCGTCCCTGCTCGTCCCCTCGCACTCCACAATGGATTATTCAAGCTAGCGGTCGTGCCGCGCCTCTGCGGCCGCTGATCGGTTTGGGTCGCGCCCAACGATTAGAAATTTGCCGGTGCTGCCGAGCCGGCCGCAGCACAGTGGGCCAGAAGACCGGTGGAGCCGGCCAAAACTCCAGACGCGTTTCGAGCTCCAGAGTCGCTAAAATGGCACTCGAACCGAACGTGTGACCCCACCAATGGATTGCTCTCCGGACGAGGAATCCATCATTGGTGGGGTCACACGCTTCGTTCGAGGCCTGTTTAGCGACTCTGGAGCTCAAAACGCGTCTGGAGTTTTGGCCGCCTGCACCGGTCTTCTGGCCCACTGTGCGCGGCCAGCCGCAGCCAGCCGCCTGCGAAGCGGCCGATAGGCAACACGCTGCGCGCGGCAGTGGAGCGGGCCTGCCTACCCCCGCCACAGCAGGGGCTCCCCGCCAAAACAAAGTCCGCATTGTTTCACTGTCGACTGACGTATTAGTCAGCCGGCTATTTTTAGAAGTGTTTCTGGTTTTGCCTGTTTCTCTTTTTTTCCTTTTTTTGTCGTGTACTGTGCGACGCGGTGGCCTGGCGATGGCGCCGCCACAACAGTGAATGGGTCGGCGCGCAATGGGATGCACAAGGCCTGGGATTAACGCGACCAGTTGTTTCGTTGTGTGTGTGTGTATGTGTATGTCCACCTCTGTTGTCTTGGTGGAAAATCAACTTGGCAATCGGGTCAGTGCTTGCTTCAGGCTTCGAGTGAACATGCCCAGTGTGAGGGCACTGCAATGTCAACTCGCGCCCGGTTTGGTCCCCTTATTTAGCGACGACTCTGGAGCTCAAAACGCGTCTGGAGTTAACGCCACCAGCTCCGATCTTCTGGCAAATCCACTGTGCGGCGGCCACCTTGACTACCACACTGGACTTGATTGTCTGCATCAAAGGCCCCCTTTTTTGCCCTTAGTTACCCTATAACCGAGTTGCCACAGGCCCGGCCGCCCAGCCGCTCTTCCAGACGATTGGGTATTGAGCTTCCTGTTGGGATTTCAGGAGGACTGGCGCCTCACGCCCACGGCCGCCCAAAAAGGCACACAAAAAGAAAAACTTAACTGCTTGTCTAAAAATGTGAATTTTTTTTTTTAAAAAAAGTGCCATATCTTTTATACGAAGTGTCACCTGCGGTCCACGACCTCAACCACGCGTGTGCTGATTCCTCTTTTTCTCTGCCCCTCTCCGTCTTTCTCGCCCTCTCCCTCCCTCTCTGCAGTTATGCAAATAAAAGCGCGTTTAAGTGTATGCAAATCGCTAAGGAGAGATATTTCAATGCCGTGATGGGGTCTTTTGACGCGCGCCGAGGCCTCGAGCGACGCGGCTCCTTCTCGGTGACGTCGATCCGACTCAAAAACAAACAAAAAAAAACAAGAAAAGTTTTTTTCTTTATTTCTTATATTTTTTTTCTCAATGCGTGCGCGACTGTGAAGCCGAAACAAGAGCAACAAACAGTTCGGCGATGGCTTTGACGCCGGCTGGGATAGTTGCGCTCCTTTTTCAGGCGGAGTATAATAATTTGCTCCCGCTGTGATGGATTCCAGGCCTTCTCTCTCTCTCTCTCTCTCTCTCTCTCTCTCTCTCTCTCTCTCTCTCTCTCTCTCGCAGGGCCGCAAATTATTTCATTAGTCGAAGATGGAGTGGAAAACAAGAATCCCCGGAGAGGCGGCAACTTTTTGGCTGCGAAAGTAAGAAAGAGCTTCACAGGCCGTCTCTGCTTCATCACGGGGGATACCCTCTCCACCTTAAATCGCAAAGCAACATTGTTGTTGTTGTTGTTTTGCAGTGTAGGACACGCTTTAGGCGGGCATTACGCCCAGACGTCGCCTTCACGCTTCAGCGGCCGGCTTTTGTACTAGCGTCCGCATTAAGTTCTCTCATTGCTTTTCATATTTGCTCCTTTTTTTCCGCCTTCTTTGTTATTCCCGTCTCCGTCTGTGCGTCGCCCGCCACAGACGTGTCACGCCGCGAAACACACTGCTAAGGAAAGCCCGGGGAAAGGGAAGAGAAAAACGAGAGCGTTTCCCGGGAAGGGAGGAAAGCCGACTGGTGCAGATTAATGCATAAATCGAACCGCTGACGTGGCCTTGAAACGGCTCCCTCCTCGGCGATGCGCTCGCTCTGTCTCTCTCGCACCCCTGCGGGGCCTTGGCGGGGTCCGCGGGCAGGCCCACGAGTGCGACAGAGACAGATAGCGACGCCTGCGGGCACGCGGTCCTTTTAATATCCAGTCAACACGCCGAGGCTGGCGAGGCTGCGGAGGCAAGCAGCAGAAAATAAAGAGACTTTTATCTGCCCGTTTTATTCGGTATAATAATCTGGGAAATAAAAAAGGCGCTCGTCCTTGAGATGCGGTGGCGCTCTCTGATTGGTCAGTGTTATCACATGCGCGTTAGCGGCGGGATTAAACTTTCATCTTCGTCAATCTCGCCTTGAAAGTGAATTAGGCATCGGCGGAGGCGGCTATAATTCTGGACGCGGTTTGAGCTCCAGAGTCGCTAAATGGGACTCGAACCGAACGTGTGACCCCACCAATGGATTGCTCTCCGAACGAGGAATCCATTGGTGGGGTCCCACGTTCGGTTCGAGTCCCATTTAGCGACTCTGGAGCTCAAAACGCGTCTCGAGTTCCGGCCGCCTCCACCGGTCTTCTGGCCCACTGCGGACCGTCTCGGAGTGATGGCATCCCGTTAGGACGCAATTTCTGCAGAGACTGGCCGAAAGCAGTGGCCGCTGTAAACAAACAAGGCTGCAAATGGTCGTCATTTTTAACAGTGGCGGACGCTGCGTGAGCGCGCCGAACTCGCTGCTGTAATTCCAAAGCCCGAAGTTTGCGAAAACGAGGATCTGTCGGCGGCCGCCTTGAAATAATCAGCGCCTCCGAGAAGTGCTGTGTCCACGGCACGCGTAGCATCGCCCCGCGGGTATTTAGGTGGAGCAATCTCGGCGCGAACTTGGCCCGCACATCAGGGTTCAGCGCCCCTGGCGACGGTGAAGCGAGTCGCTAAACAGACTCGAAACGAACGTGTGACCCCACCAATGGATTGCTCTCCGAACGAGGAATCCATTGGTGGGGTCACACGTTCGGTTCGAGTCCCATTTAGCGACTCTGGAGCTCAAAACGCGTTTTCGCCGCCTCCGCCGGTCTTCTGGCCCACTGTGGGTCGTCGCGGCGTTGGTGCTTGACAGTGCGCTTCGCAGGCCGGTCGTTCACTCCGCGAGCCGAGCGCTAGTGGGCTCCAAGGGACCACTTGCACCGCCTTGCAGCGAGTACCTGCCAACACGTTCCCTCAGAGTCGCGGCATTTTCCGCTGCCCGAGTGCTGCGAGAGACACCGCGTCGGCTTGCCTGTCACTTTGGGACGTCCCCTCAA